GAGAGTGCTGCGGGACGTGAGGGTTCTGGTTCTTATCAGGAAAGGAATGGTGCTAGAAGGAGAGCCAGGAAGGGGCTACTGGGGATCATTTTGCCTCTACCCACAGTGCTGCAGGCACGTCCGGCTCTGTGTGTGCGAGTCTGCTCACGCCCTGGCTCTTTCTGAGTGGTGTCCTGCTCAAACCCTGCCTTTTCTCCGCTTTGTGCTCCTTTTCCATATTTTCTATAAAATGTGTAGAAACACTGCAGGAGAGAAACAAATAACACAATTTCTTTTTGATATTTTTTGTGATGCTAAAATTCTTTAGGCCCTTGAAATTAAAAGAACAAAGTAAAGAGAAAGCTCCACATAAGAATAGGGAAAGGAAAGAAGTGACAGGCGGGCTCTTCCAGATTTGTCACTGAGGTACACATTCAGACGTGAAGCCCCGTGTAGAGGCTTGGCAGCGGGCAGCGTGTGAAGCATGCTGCAGGTGGGTGGCCCCCTGGCCGAATCTCACTGACATGTTTTGTTTGGCTCGCACAGTACTTGAACAATATTCAAATTAGTTTAAAATGTGGAAGTTTTCATAATAAGTCCCTGGTTTCCAACTTTCCTTGAGGACTCAGGAGTGCTGGTATCAGGGCAGTGGCCCATTGGTGGCTGCCTCTGTGAAAGAACCTGGCTCCTGGTCACGGCCCCTCCAGCATGGACTGGGGGTCCTGGGGTGTGTCACTGCCTCGAGTCTAGAAAGTCCGGGCTCAGACTTTGAGCTGGGTGACTTTGGGGCCAGCATTCACAGGACTCTTCCTTGTCACCTGTCCTTGGCTGCTATGAGCACATCACTCAGAGGGTGTGTGTGTGTACGTGCATGCACATGCCTGATTCTGAGTCTGTGTGCACACATGCACAAGACTGTGTGCATGGGGACATGTACTCACATGCGTGAATGTGTGTATATGTGCCCTGGTATGTATATATTTGGGTGTGTGCAATGTGCAAATATGCAGCATATATGTGTGTGCATACATTGCAGTTCATGGTGTGTGTGTAAGTATATGAGAGAGCCCAGTGTTTGTGCAAAAAACCGTTTCCCAACGACTCAAGGACCCTGGGTCAAGTGGGCACTCGGGAAGAGGTGCTTAGTGGCAACCGTGGACGTGGAAGGAAATTCCCTGCTGCCTTCTAAGAAACTGCAAACAATTCCTTTCTTTTTTTAAAAAAAAATTATAATGTGTTTTTTAAAATTGTTATTATTACTTTACAAGACCCATGCAGTCTGCGTGGTGCTTTATAGGGAGGATCCGGCTACAGCTGGCGCACTTCTGGGTGTTTTATGGCAAATTATTCTCAGATTACCCTTTAATGCAGGAAGGCCTGCCTGTTGTCTGAGCTCCCTGGGTCCTATAGAAACCCCTCAGACTTGATACAAAACAGCTGCCTCAGTCAGCTGTTCCAAAAAAGGAGCATTTTCAGGCCGAAGCAGCAGGAAAAAGGTTTTTGGAGCTGGTGGAGAGTTTGAAAAATGTTCAATTACTCTTTCCTTGCCATTAAATGTGATTTAATTTTGTTGCTAACAAATTGTATAAATCTAAAAAGAAGTACTCCGAATGGAGTTTGTTAAGTGTGTTCTGGCAATACTTACAGTATTTCTGTGGTGGGGGGGCGTTCCCCAGGGAGGGCAACACAAAACTCCCGCTGACCTCCATGTCCCTGGGCCTCAGCCCGGCTGGGCCAGGGTCAGGGGCCAACCCACAGGCCCTCCCTCCCCTCTCTTCTCTGAGTCCCTGCTGAGACCAGCAACAATAGGGTCAATTGTCTGAGGCCTCCCTTTGTCTGAGGGGCTCCATGGACCTCTCTGAATTTAAAGTGAATCCATGCACGTGGGTAAGTGTGTGATGCACATCTGTATGAGTATGCATATGCATATGTGTATATATGTGGGGGGACACAAGTGGGGGGATGATTGTGTATACATATGTGGGGGTACATGCATATGTGTGTGCATGTGAATACGAGTGCAAGCATATGCATGCATGTGCACGAACATGTGACTATGCATGCGTACACACATGCAGTCTTAGAGTACATGCATGTATGTGGATGTACATGTCTGAATGTGGATGGGTGTGTGTGTACACATGTGCAGGCACATGTGTACACACATGAGCGTGTGCTTATGCACACATGTATGAATATGCTTGTGTGTGTATGTGTGCACTGGTATGCATGTGTGTGGGTGTGTGCAGTGTTTATGTGTGTGCATGTGTGTGCACACACAAGTGGTGGTGAGACTTGCTTAAAGCCTGTCTGAGTTGCTAATTCATGTTAGTAGGGCCATAGGTCTCAGAGAGGCTTGACTGGGTGAGGAACATTCCTAAGGCCAAGGAAAAAGGGTGTCTTTGGCTTCTCTCTCAGCAGATCACACAGTTGCCTTGACTTGGTGATCCAGAAGGCCTGGAGACTTTGTTTTACACCCACTCCCTTTCTCTGTAGGAATGAGGACGGGCAGGCCGGAGGCTCCTTACCTGGCGTATTTGCCAGTGTTGCCTCACTGGACTTTTCCAAGCTGAGGTTTCAAGACCAGGCCCACAAGAACTTTTCCACACAGTCCCAGCCCCTTTCCAGGACTGTCTAATTGGACTTAGTGCATTCCGTGTGATGTTTCAGCCACATTTCCAGAGTGACCGTGGGATGCCCTACTTCTGTTCACTCTGTAAGTTGGTTTCCGTGTAGCTCCGAGGCCTTTGCATCTGTCCTGATCACCTTGTTGCCTCAAAGGGCATGTTCACGCAGAGGCCTGCAGGGAGCCATGGCTGGTCCGGGCTTTGGTTCCAGCCAACCCTGTCCACTGGAGTTTCCATGATTCACACTGTCTTCCTTAACAAGGGTTTTCTTCTGAGAATGATGATAAGACTTATTTGATTCAGAAGCCGAAGCTGGGGAAGACTAATAAAAACGCTTCATTGAAATTCACCTTTGTGAAAGGTTTATCTCCCAACCTTCTTTCACCAGCACAGCTGCCATTGAACAACTTCTGTTTTTTTGCTGTATTTTGTTTTTGTTCCTGTCCCTCCCCCATTTCCTCTCCTTACTCCAGCAAGGGCTTATCTTTCAACTGCGGAAAAGCCACCAATTAAACTATACTCCTAAACTTATCAAAATATTCAGTCAGTAAAATTATCTTATAGTTAGCTTCCCTATAAACCAGAACTTTTTAATCCCAGGAAATGTAAAGTTACCCAGCATGTGAAATCTGTAAATTGCTCATCCTGACCTTTTGGCTGCAGTTTCTGCTTTTATTTCTCTCCCAAAGTGACTTCTTCCTTGTTCTTTAAATTCTCGGTCGTCCGTGAGGCATCTTATTCTTCTGTTTACTTAAGTTTCAAAACATATATACGCCTAGTTTAGCTGAGACAGATCATTGACTACGTCCAGGAGAGTGTAATTTGAAATCAACCTGATTTTATATATGCTTTGAGAGATTCTTTTTGTAAACGTAAGCCTTCTCTGATGGCTGATGGCTTGCTTTGTTGGTTCTGTGCTTCAGGTGCCTGCGGTGGTAACGGAATGACACTGGAGACGAGTTATTTAAACAGTATCTGGGTGACTCCCTGGGACGTCAAGCTGGACAGCAGCATTGGGCTTTCTTTTGTTAAGGATTCTGCCCCTCTCCTTGGCTCTTCCCATTCCTCCACCCTCCCCTTGCCTGGGGTCTCTTCTGTCATTTGGCACTACCTGGGTTGGCGTCCCCATCTAAGCCCCACTGGGGCTGAGACATCAGGGGAACCCTTGTGATGTTTGGGGATCTTGAGGTACAACTTAATTAGACTGTCCACACAGAAAGGATATTATAGATGACACTTGGGTTCTTGACTGTTGTGAGTTTCTTAAACTAGTCATGCCATCGTTGGGCACATATGAGTTAGTGAGATGTACATAGGCATGTTTGGCACCAAGTATCACTTGTTACATGATGAGATATTTTCAAAGTCCCAAAAACAAATATAAAAATTAAATGTTGGAATGTATCAACATTTTTGTAAATGGGGTATAACGTGTATATGGCGCTAGTCATGGTAGTTATTATTTGCAGAGATTTTTCTGTCAGGTTGTAAACACACACAAACACTGGCATAAATACACAAATATATTAAAATTGCTTTATCCTTACATTAATCCTGTGAGAAACTAACTATTGTGCCCATTTTACAGTTGAGAAAATTGAGGCTCTGAGAGTTTTAGTAACTTTTTGACGCAGCTGAACTTGGCTGACTGGCCTGACTCTTATAATCTACTATTGCCCTTCTGTGAATTAGCTGAGACGCATGCAATATGATTTGACCCCCCACTTAATGCTTGAGGGGTTTCCCCGATACCCCTGCAGAGTAAAGAGGAAATCACAGTTTCACCTCAGCCTGTACTTGTAGCTGTGCCCAACCATTATGTGTGTGATCTTTTGATGCGTATTTCAGGTTTGATTTATTTGTTGTCCTCAGAGATGAGACCTGCTGGCCTTAAGGTTATGGGATCAGTGTGAAGGCTGTGTTGCTCCCAGGGAAACACCAGCCCAGGTGGACAGTCCCCCTGGTGGCCTGAGCTTCACTCGGTGCTCCTGGGGCTGGGGGTAAAGAGGGGACCGGCTTTCAGAACCCAGTCACTTGTGGCTGTGTTCTCCTAACACCAACCTTGGAATCAGCCCCACGCTGCCTTCCCACCTATTCACGGCAGTGTCTCAGAGCTATAAGAGCCCTGTTTTAGAAGTCTTTCCTGATGAGGAACACCTTCTGTCTAATCCACAACACAATTTTTCTTGCCTCTTAAAAGACCTTTTTGAAATACCAATTTCCTTTAAGAGCCAAGTTAAAACTAAAGATCTGTCCTTAAAATATCTTACTTATGAAGCATGTAAGACTTTTAAGGAAACATTTAAAGAAATAATTAATCATATTAAGTTAACTTTTTGTGGCTACAGCATATCCCTTATATTATTTAATTTGTTTTTCCTTCTTTACTTACAGGTTGGATTGACGATAGCCATTCGTTATAGCCACAGGTAAAACTTTACTTTTTTTTTTTTTCCTTTTAAGAAATATCTTTACCAGCTTAAAGCTTTTGCTTTATTTGAGTCTCAGGTTTTTTTTTTGTTATGTTTTGTTTTTTGAGTTGGAGTCTCACTCTGTCGCCCAGACTGGAGTGCAGTGGCCGCTCCCGGCCACCGCAGCCTCGACCTGCTGGCTCTGGCGATCCTTCCGCCTCAGCACTCCAAGTAGCCGGAATTACAGGCATGTGCTACGACGCCCGGCTAATTTTTTGATTTATTGTAGAGATGAGGTCTCGCTGCCCAGGCGGGTCTTGAACCCGCGGGCTCAGGCAATCCACTCACCTCAGCCTCCCAAAAGTGTGGGATTACAGGCTGAGCCACCGAGCCCGGCTGAGTCTCAGGTTTTAAATCTTGTTTTGGTTTTTGATGACAGTGTCAATGATGAAGTTGTTCTAGTTGCTTCATTGGCAAGAGCACAACCCTACTGGGAGGGAATTAAGGTCTTTGTGTAAATGTGGTGGCAGGTAGCACATTCCTCTTTCTCTCCTCCTTCCTTCCCTCCCTCCCTGTCTTCCTCCCTTCCTTTCTGTATGCTCTAGGGCATGCATGTCCAATGCAGGTGGCATGTGGCCCAGGACAGCTAGTAATGTGACCCCACAAAATCTTTTAACATAATGTGTTTTTTAGCATTTATTTTCTTCGTGACCCCGTGTGTAGTTTCATTTTTGAAGTTCACTATCACGTCTTATTCATGACATTGCTTTTTGGCAGCACATGCATTTCTGAGCAGCTGTTTTCAATTATGAAGCACACAAAGGGCAAAATTTGAACAAACTTTTCTGATGAGCACCTTGCGAACTCACTAGGAATTGCAACCCTTTCCTTCGAGCCAGACGTTGACATACTAGTTTTATAAAAACAAGGTCAAATTTCCCACTAGTTTTATGTTGTTCTCATTTATCTAAACTTTATAATACAAAATATAAAAAATAAGTCTTACTATGTATATATATACTAACTATATTATTTAATTTTATGTGCTGCCCAAGACAATTTCTCTACTCGATGTGGCCCAGGGAAGCCATAAGGTTGGATATCCCTGCTCTAGGCCATGACACAGAAGTGATTTCTGGGTAACGTGGAGAATGGGCAACAGGAGTGCCCTGCATCCCTGCCAGGCAGAGAACCCTGGTAAGGGCTTGATACTGAAGCCTTGGTCCCCTTCCACACAGGCCTCTCTCCTGTCTTAGTCCTCCTGACATTGGGGAAAAGCCCCATTTTGTCTTGCTTTACGATTTCTGCCTTTGTCTCAATTGCCTTATATTTATGAAATAATGTTTGTTTATTGGGCTAGCATCAACCTTTCCCCCCTTGCATGCCTTGAAATGCATGGAGATGTTGAATTAATGAAAGTAAGATCCACCCCCAGTGGAGGGGTGATAAGCAGGGCTCTTCCTATCCCTTCATTTGCTGTGCTTGTGGCCTCCCAAAGTGCCACCCTCTGGGCATAGGCTTGGGGCTGGGACACATCTGGCCAACTCTCCACAAACAAACCAAAGCAAACCCATTTCACAAGTTTCCTACTAAAGATGCTCGTCACAAGTGTGTGTGTGCATGGCTTCAAGTGTGAACAAGGCACTCACAGGCGATTCTGGAAACCTAGAAAGCCGCCAGGCGTGTGTAGGTTAGAGCAGGAGAGGGCAGGAGGGGATTCAAGCCCCTTGGAAGGAGTGTGTGGGAAAGATGCTCAAGTGGGATATTTCTGGGGAGCTGGGGAGGAAGGCTGCTCCAGAGAAGCTCATGGTCATGTAGGGGAAAAGAAAGATCTTTTCCTCGTCCATTGCCAGCTCTGTGACTGAGACCCCTTGCAAAAGACAGATTATCAAGAGAAAAACATGCACATTCATTGAATGTAATTGTTCTGTGACACAAGCAACTTCATGAGGAAATGAAGATCCGGAAAAACAGGGAAATCTGTGTATTTTCTATGCTAGTTTGGTGAGGTGAACAGTCATGAAGCAGTGTGATTGGATAAATGGGGCATGATCTCATGGTCATAAACTAGGGAGGGGACTTGAACAAGGTTGGCTTGTTCAGATTATTCTCTGTGTCCTGCATTTTCAGAGATAAGGATATTCCTTTCCCCTGGGCATAAGGAGGGCACCTCTTGAAGGAAGGTTTTATGGCCTGCTTCAGGGAAGGAGGGTGGAGGGGGGGAAGGGGTGGGTGACCTTCCTGCTTCTGCTGGTTTCTCAAATGTCAGGGTGCTGTATGTTAGGGTAGTGTGCCCTGAACCCCATCGATCACTTGCGTGTCACCGAGTCCTGTGTGTGTGTGTGTGTGTGTGTGTGTGTGTGTGTGTGTGTGATGCATGCCCATGACAGAGGCAAGGTGTCTTGCAGAGGTGTTCTCTTGCCTTGTAAGCACAGCCAGGCTGTGGTAGCTGATGAGGCATACAACTGTAGTGCACTTAGGAAGCACTTAGTGTGTGATGTGCACACTGAATCCCTGACCCTCAAGCTGACTGGACACTCGGTGATGTATGGGAAGGGAGTTGGAAATGCTCTTTCGGGAGCTGCTCCAGATGTGTGTTTGTGTGTGTGTGTGTGTGTGTGTGTGTGTGTGTGTGTGTGTGTGTGTGTGAGAGAGAGAGAGAGAGAGAGAGAGAGACAGAGAGAGACAGAGACAGAGAGAGAGAGAGAAAGAGGGACAGAGACAGACAGACAGAGACAGACTTTAACATTTCCTGCCAAGCTTGATGGCTCACACTTGTAATCCCAGTACTTTGGGAGGCCTAGGTGGGAGGATTACTTGAACCCAGGAGTTTGAGACCAGCCTGGGCAACATTGGAAAACCTCATCTCTACAAAAAAACAAAACAAAACCAAAAAACCAGGCATGGTGGCACATGCTTGTAATCCCAGCTACTCAGGATGCTGAGGTGGAAGAATTGCCTGAATGAAGGAAGTCGAAGCCTTCATGAACCGTGATTGTCGTGATCATGCCACTGCATTCTAGCCTGGGCAACGGAGTGAGACCCCAGCTCCAAAGACAACCAACAAAAAACCCCAAAAACATTTCCTCTCCTTTTTCTTGGTTGTTTTCCTTCAGTCACACTCTAGTGCCGCATATCACACCAACCTGTTTATGCAGAGTTAAAGGCACCTCTTTCTAAGAAAGCCAAGATCTTGCTCTAGTTCAGAGAATAAGCATGCTCTTTCCCAGCTGGTGAGAGTTACTTTCCTGTGGCTCTGTGAAGAGTTAATCACTTGTGCAGAATCTTGGAGTCTGTGTGTGGGTTGAGAATAAAGCTATCTTTTAAATATTTTGCCAGGCTGAGGGTCTCTTGCCCAACCATCTACTTTGTCGAGTCAGGTGAGATAACAGAGTGGGGCACACCTGGAGGATATGCTGATTGGCCAAGGCTTTTGAGGCCTGTGCTTGTCATGGCCTAAGCCCGTGTTTACAGAAAAGATTCTGGATTCCCCAGCAGAGGCCATGAGGGTGTTGTCACCAAGACCACACTTGGTCAGTGGAGACTCTTCTCTGGGCTGAACACGATTTTTATTTGGAAAGAGGAAATGTCTCCTTACCCTTGGCTGGTTGGTGGTTTAGATCTGTCTCCCCGTGGGTTTGGGGTCAGTGGGTGAGTCCTGGAAGGAAGCACTTTGCCTGGATTGTAATAGACTTTCCACTTTGGGTTGTCTTTCCCCAGAGCAACCTGGCCTCACTGAAGAAATGTGGTTAGTAGACAGTGATTATGAGGCTGAGTGGAAAGATGGGACCCCAAGCCATGGTCCTACAGGAGCCAAGAGTGGGCTCTTTTGTGTTGAAGGAAAACACACAGGGCACTTGTCAGGGCTCTGTGGGCCCATCCATGCTCAACCAGAGGGCCCTGATGCTTCTTCAGGCTTAACACTTGGGAAGGTGGAGGAAAATGTTACCTCTGATTCCTCAGACTTGTCCACGGTGTGGGCTTCAGTGTCTCTTTCCTGATGCTTTGCAGGCAAGCCAGTTGGACAATGACCAGTGGCTGGAATAGGGATCACTGGCACATGGGTTTGCATCCTCAGCTCTGCTGTTAGCAGCCAAGTGGTTTGGACATGCCACCTGTTTCTCAGGCTTAGGCATTGCTCCTGCTGGCAAGTTTTCCTTGGGCACGTTCCCTAATCTCTCATATCTTCTCTTACTTCTTATCTAAAAATCGCTGTCCTGAGCATTGTTGTGAAGGATGGAGATTATAGACAGAAAGCTCCAAGCCCGTGTCAGGCACTGAGAAGGCCCTGTGATAAGGGTGCCGTGGCTTTCCAAGTCCTGGCCACTGTAATGGTGGGCGTTGAGGAGGAGAGTCACCTCTGGAAGGAGACCAGGGCAAGCTCCAGAATCCATCCGTGCCAAGTCTCAGCCCTGTAAAGGAGGAAGTGGGGGCCGTTGACCATCGTCTATTTGAGAGTCTGGGGTTTTGGAATTGCTCATCCTATTGCCCCATGGGTGGAGCCTGCTCTGGTTCCTGTGGCTGCCCAATGTCACCAAGCTGTCATTCCTCATGCATGTGCGCTCTGTGGGTCAGGGGTGTGAGAGAGGCAGTGGAGACACTCAAGGGCTGGTAACTGATTCATTGGAGTGGCTCTTGGGTTTCCTCACTGCCTGCTGATTGGCATTCTCCAAGTGTCCTAGTAAAAGAGATGCAGGGACACGTCACCTCCTTTCCGGAACCTAGTCTGGGAAGCCACAGAACATCACTTCCATCTTATTCCATTGGATGGAGCAACTATAAGCCCCTATCTGTGCTCAAAGGGAGGGAGCAGAGACCCCCCAATTCTCAGCAGAAGGAGGGTCGGTCATGTTGTGACAAGAGCACATGGAGATTGTGGTGTGGTCTCTCTGGAAAATGCAGTCAGCTGCAGAACCCAAGTGGATGCTGGATCCTTACTTTGGAGCTCTTGTGAAAATAAATTTATGGGCCGGGCTTGGTGGCTCAGCCTGTAATCCTGCCACTCTGGGAGGCCAAGG